TGACCAATTACGATTTTTGTGTTTTATCATTCAAAATGGAAAATTTCTATGCGGAAGAGTATCAATACCATCAATATAATGATGACGACAATATATAGTAGTGGTACTGTTGGTGATAATTTTACATGCGAATGAATAAACACTTCCAATACAAGGTCCAATAGTTCATTGGCTTCGAGTTCCGATGAGTTAAGCGGTGGTTCCAGAAGACCTTTAAAAAAACGAATCGTCCAAAAAATCCTTAGTCGACTACTAGTTGGTCGAAAATTTCTTTATTCGACTAAATTTTTTTTTTTATAACAAATAATAATTTCGTTTTAATTTACAAATTACGAATTTATTTCCATTTGAATCTTTCACTTTTTCATAATGCTTCCGCACAAAACCATGTGTTACGATTCCAACCTCTACTCGGAATGAGAACAACATGTGAATTTAAAGTGAGTGCACTTAGGGAGGGTTGATTGTTATTTAACAAGTATAACCGACAATGGCTTGTCTATTCTTATAAGTTACTTGCAACCAATACACAATAATTTAATGTTTGTCAATTAATTAGTTTACAAATTTACTATGATTCTTGCTTACTGATGCTTCTTATATCTATATAGAAAGCTTCGTTGGATCTGTAAGCATGCTTAACGCATCGAATATAGATATGTATCTTTTAGAAAGCTCAAGGACTTTATAGAGGGGGTTTTATTTGCTTACGACTGATTCATCCAATCATTTACAATTACAAGCTTGCTTTGGTTTATTTAAACATTTATTATTATTTATACAATTTCTCAATTAACCTTTGGACCATACTTCATTGACCATTGTTAGCACCCACTATTTAACCAACGTTATTCCTAAATCTTTGCTTACTCATTAATTGTTGTGACAAATAAAAATTAATTGGTTGAATTTTCTATGAAGTTAATTATTTTCGTGAAACAAATAAATAAATAACAATAAATTTATTTATAATTTGATTTATCTTCTCGCAATATTCCAAATGCCTAATAATAGTCTTGCATCTTTAGAAAACATCAAAAACTTATTTGAAAAGTTTATTGATTCTAATGAAGATGTCCTACCATTAAAACATATGAGTAAGCTTTTCAATGATTTAACTGACTTGTTAAATGAATCAGATTTTTATGATGTAGAAATTAAAGTTGGAGAAGGTGATGATGATGATGATGTTAAGACTTTCAAAGCTCATTCCAATATTTTAAAAGCAAGATCCGTTTATTTCAAAGCAGCTTTATCAAATAATTGGGTAAAAAGATCTGATGGTGGAATTATTTTATTTGAAAAAGAAAATATTTCTCCAAAAATATTTGAAGTTCTTTTAATGTAAGTATTATCATTAATTAAATAATTAATTATAATATGTTTTTTATTGAAACAATGTTAAATGTTAAATTTAAAAAAATGATTTTTTCAAAGATATATTTACAATGGAATTGTTAATATTGATAATCTGGATCCAGATGAAATTCTTAAACTTCTTGAAGCATGTGATGAATTAAACTTTGATGAATTAATTGAAGATATACAAAATTATTTAATTATTGAAAAAAAAGAATGGGTTCAACAGAATTTAACTAATCTTTATAAATTAAAATATAAATCATTCAGTTTACTTCAAAGCCATTGCAATGAATCAATTGATAAAAAACCAGAATTATTTTTTAAATCAAACAATTTCAAAGATATTGAAAAACTGATGCTCATAACTATATTAAAAAGAGATAGTTTAAAATTAGAGGAAATTGATATTTGGGATTATGTCATTCAATGGGGAATAGGACAAGATGAAAATTTGAGAAAAGATATTTCAAAATGGGATAGAGAAGATTTTGATAAATTAAAAAATATATTAGATGGTCTTATTCCATTAGTAAGATTTGATCAAATCACTTCTACAAATTTTTTTAAAAAAATCAAACCTTATAAAAAAGCATTTGATAAAGATTTGTACGAAGAAATCCTTGAACATCATCTTAATGTTGAATGGCAATCAAGGTTATTAGTTCAAAAAGGACCAAGATCAGGAATTGGAAATTTATTAAGTTTAGAAATGAAATCTCTAATTTCCAGTTGGATTGATGAAGAAAAAGACTTTTATAATCCAAATGATTTACCATATAAATTTAATTTGATTCTCAGTGGGTCTCAAGATGGATTTTCAAGGTCAACTTTTGAGGAGAAATGCTATAACGTTGAACAAACAGTTGTCATCATGGAAATTAAAGAAACTGGAGAATTAATTGGAGGGTATAATCCAGTATGTTGGAATTTAAAAGGAAAACCCTCAGATGCTTCTTATAGTATTAAAACAAACAAAAGTTTTATTTTCAAAATTGATCAAAATCAAATTAAAAATTCATTATTAAGTAGAGTCAAAAGACCTGAATGTGCAATACATCATAATCCAGAAAAGATTAATACAACAACAGATGATGTAGATTTTCATGAAAGATTAGTAGATTTTAATGTTTTAGACATACGCAACAGTATTAATAATGAACCCTATTGTTATTATGAGCATGGTCATTATTATGAAAGGAATTTGGATCTTAAAAATAAAAAGAAAGAAGTATATTTGCTAGAAGAATATGAAGTATATAAGTTATATATAAATATTTAATTATTTTAATTATTACAACTTCACATGTGATTGTATAATGTAATGTTATATATAAATATGAAATGAGATTTAATTTTGAGAAAATATCTAATGATAATACTCTACCATTAAAACATATTAATATGCTACTTGTAAATGACTTAACAAAGTTGTTGGTGAAAATATTAAAATTTTTAAAGTTATTCTTTGTATCTTTATCAAATAATTAGGTAAAAAGATTTTATTTGAAATAAAAATATTCTCAAAACATTTTAATGTAAGAACTTTTAATTTAATGTTAAAGAAAAAACAAATATGAGATTCTTGAAATTATTATTTAATAATTATATGTATATAACCCTTTTTAAAATAAATGACTTTGGCTTTGCATGTGATATTGGCCATACTGGTTTTTGATTTTTGGCTTTGAAGTTTACAATATGCATAAAGTTATGTCATGTTCAAGATGTAGTTATTTATTATCAGGGTTCAAAAGAGCAATTTGTTGAACAAAAAATTCCTTCCAAAAAGTTGGGTAAAAAATAATGATTTTTTGCTAGCTAGCTCACCTCTGCTCCCCTTATGCTCAAGCTTTAGCAAAGCGGAGATGGTGTGGTAGAAATAGGTTGATCACTTGACTCAATCAGGAGACTTTTTTGACGCAATTAATTGAGTCATATGAAAAACATATAAATTATTGAGTCAGATGCAATTAAAAATTGTGATTTTGAGAGTTGGGTCAAAGCCAAATTAATTTTGACAAACATGTATAGGAGAAGAGATGCCCTTTACAATTAAGGTTGCTTGTTGAAACTCCTCCAGAAATCAATCAGCAGGGTTTCGGCAGGCTACACATTAATTGTTTATTAGAGTTTCGGCAGAGTTTTGCATTTTGAGGTTTTGCGGTCTTGTCCACAATCTTATTTACATGTGGTGCAAATGGAATAATTTGATTTTGGATATAACGTTGTAATTTTTCATTGCTGACACCATAAGCTGGATGCATTTCATTCAATGCCTCTAGGAAATCATCTCTATTTATTTTCATGTTTTCAAAATATGGTCTTATCCCTGTGAGTGTTTCTACTTTGATATGTCTATTAAATGCAAATGAACTAGCACTCTTAATAAGTCCACTGATTTCTGCACCACTAAAATTTTTGGTTGAACTAGCCAATTCATCTAGATCAACATCAACATCCAAAGTATTATTTTTTTTTTTCATCTAAAATTCAAAAAAGTAAATAATAATATTCTACTCAATTATATAATTTATTTTTTACTTAACAAATAATATTTATTTTTTTTCACCTTTGAAGTATGAATTTTTAATATTTGTATTCATCTGGTAAACTAACTTCCATGTGAACTTCCAAACGACCTTTTAAGAATCAAAAAAATATTTATGATTAAAAAAGTTTTATTTTTATTTTTACACAGATAAATAATATAAGACCAACCAGGATGAAGTAATGCCTCATCAATCATATCCAATTGATTAGTCATACCAATGATTAATATATTGTTCAATTGTTCAACACCATCCATCTATATAATTAAAGAATCATTTCCTTAATAAATCAATAATAATAATATTATTATTATTATTATAATAAAAAGAATTAACCTTTGCTAATATCTGATTTATAATGCTATCACCAACACCAGTTCTACCAGTTCCATCACTACCACGTTGTTTACATATAGCATCTAACTCATCAAATATTATTATATGTAACCCAGAATCTTTCTCCTTATATTCTCTTTCTGCATCAGCAAACAATTGATGAATATTTTCTTCAGATTGACCTATGTACTTATTCAATACTACCAGTCCATTAATAACTTTTAATTCTTGCACATTTAACATTTTTCCAATTTGTCTAGCCAATAATGTGTTCCCTGTTCCAGGCGGTCCATGAAGAAGAATACCTTAAAAAAACCAAGTTTTAAATATATATATATAAAATTAAAAAATGTATTATTTAATCCCTTACGTATGTATATTAAGGTCAATATGTTAGAAACCTTTAACGTGTTGAATGCCTAATTTTTCTACTAATTCGGGTGGGAAAACTCTAGATGCAAATGCACGACGAAATATGGCATTAAATTCTGTCTCCAATCCACCAATGCCATATCTTCAAATTTAAAATCGGACTGTATAATAGTCGTGCTGAAAAAATGAACAAATATGTATTGGGTTAACTATTGTTATTTTTTAAACTAGAATGACGACAAGCACAATCATTCTTTTTATAATACTTACTTTTCGTTGATTTCGTTGATTCCCAAATATCCTCGGTTTTTCTTCTTTCATTTGATTGCTTGAACATTTTAAAAAATAAAAAATGAGAAATTTTTGTTCTGATCGACATAAGCACGCGCACGACTAATTATTACGAAGAATGCTATTTTTGTTGACGCGATTGAATTTTTTTACCTTTTTACAAGACGAGGGAACGTGAATGTTGTGGTTTGGCATGTATGGTTCTTCTAAAGAAGATAGGGTGTTGTTTATTCACAACAAAAGGTACATCATTTTTTATATTTGTGTATTTAATTTTTTTATTGTTTTATAATAAATGTATTGATGATGTATTGCCTTTTATTTTATATAAATGTATATTGTTGAAATCAAACGCGGAGCGGAGCTTGTCATGTCTCTTTAGGTATTATTATAGAAAATCCTTGTGATAATAAACTATTGGCATCGTTTTGCTTCTCATATAATCATTATTAACACTAAGATTAAATCATATTAAGATGTCAAGGCAATACAATTGTTACAGAAGAACAATTCAATATGAATAATTTGGCATGTAACAATTCGATATGTAATGTTTAATTATCAGAAAATTACAAGTGTTGAAGTCATATGCTACTTTGACACTACACAGTCATTCTCGCACATTCCTTGAGTACACAAGGCTAATCTGACCGTGACTCTCAAATGGTACGGTGCACGTCACTATAACCCATGAAATGCTGTGCAAAATGTTTCGAATTCACAAAAAAATAAAAAATTTTGAATTTTTTTTTATTACTTTCATTACAAGGTAACAATTAAAGATGTCGATCAAAAATAAAAATATTATTAGTCTAATTCAATTCATCTATCACATTGTCTGGAATCCTTTTATGTGACTTATATTTTTTTACAATATATTCGGCCTGTAGTATTGTTAATCCTTTTCTGTAACAATCCATAAATCTTGAGGCTCTCACCACATACCTTTTAATTTTGTTTCAGTGATATAGAATCAAAGCATTGGGACATTCTCTTAAGGACTTTTCCATGTGTAATTATAATGTTGTCTAACATATCATTTAGCAGCTCCCAAATACATTTCAATGTAGTTAAGCTCACAGTAAAACTTTGGATAGAAGATGACTTTATGTCCTCTTTCTTCAATTAATTCTTGAAGTAAGGGTTTTTGGTTTTTAAAACCATCTTGGGTTGCTAAAATATGTCTAGCACAACAAGTCAAAGGTCCTTCAAGAGAAACTTCAAACAAAAAATTTTGAATGGGATTATTTTATATTCATCGCGTGATTTACCAGAATTAAAAAATATATTTTATGCGTGACTTAAGGCGGGCCAAAATTACACGTTTCAAATTTGGAAAATTTTATATATAACATATAAAAAATTAGATGATTTTCAAAAGCTTATAACTCCTGAACCAATAATTATTTTTTAATTGTCTTGATGATAGATTGTAGAACTAGCTAAAAGCTATCAAATATCATCTCAATAATTTTTTGACAAGCACACAATATTTTCTTTTTAGGTTTTAAAGTTAGTCAATTTTTATTTGATGGGTTATTGTGGCATGTACTATACAATGAATGCAACTAAATTTTTAGGGGAAGTGTATGGCCCTGAAATTTATCAAGAGACTGCATCATTTCAAGGACATCTTACCTAATCTTCCCTCACAGCACCCAAGCTGGCATTACCCAGATGAGCATGTTGGCTGAAAAGTTGTATGCATGCACCAACTTTATTCTTAGGGGTAGCAACAATATAATGTAATCATTGCACAACATCAACTCTTGTCAACAATCAATGCTGTATGGTAACAACCAAGCCTGGTCTGAGGGGAAGTGAAGGAAATTTTTGCCAATCTTTATAAAAGCCATCAAACTTGTTCAATCTGCCCCTACTTGTGGAAAAAATTCCATAGTGCTGAGGGTGTGCAATTGCATTTGCTTGCATGTTTGTGATAGGAAAGTTTTTATTAAATCTGACACCTGTAATCAATGTCGTCAGATTTATTATTTAAGGAAATTTAGAATGGTGAAGGAAAAAAAAATTTTTTTCCAAAGATTTGAATAGACACACATTATTGTTTTGAAATCAATCCCCGAAAAGATTGTATTCCTGCATGATCTTTGGTATGATTTATTACTTAAATGATGCAATTATTTGTTATGTCAATGACAACACCAAATGTATTGAATAAAGCATCACAAATATTTAATAGATGCAGGTATTCACATAGAAAGAAATGATTAAATAAAAACAAAAAAGATGTTTTTTTATCCAACCAAGATATATAATTATTTATATTCAAAAAATAATTATTTTATTCCATTAGCCCTAATAAACCATTTGTTTCAATTTAAGTGGTATTTTTTAAAAAGTCTTATTTGAATTAACAATTATTCAATAATTATCTTTTATTATTTTTTTCCAATCTAGAATAATTTCTTTTTATTCATTTGTTTATCTGTTTTAGAATGATCATTAAACCTCAAGTCTCAAGATTCTTATAATTTACTTACATTTTTAGTAATTATAAATAATTCTTCTAAAAATAGTTGATCTATCTGTTCATCTGTTTAGTGTGATTAGTAAATATTGTCATGAAATAATAATCTCAATGATACATTTTTTTAGAAATAAATAATAATCAGTTATTTATTCTAAAAACACTTTATAAATCATTGTGCAGAATCACAGCATATATCCAATTTTTTTTCTTTTAAACATATACTCCTCGTAATTTCTACCAATTAAAAATTTGTATATATTGTAAAACTAAAGATAATATACATACATATAAAAACGGACAAAGTTTTTTATGCAAACAATCCTCTTTTTTGTATTCCTTTTGTCAAAATTGACATGACTTTTTGCAATAAACTGTACATAGAGATGACTTTTCGTTATAAAAACTGAGCACAGACTTGTCATCCATACTTTATAATTTAAATCTAGACAATTATTTTTCATGAAACTAGTTGAGGATTTTTATTTTCTCTTTTATATCAATTATTTGCAGCTCCACGCCCACAGGATCAATTTCAGAATCTCTTCAATTTTAAAATAAATAAAAACCTACAAAGTGAACATAAAATAACATATAACAATAACCAAATTAACAAACATAATGGTTCTAATGAATATAAAAGAGCAATTTATTTTTAGAAAAAGGTTGTGTTTGTGGTTGCTCTTCAAAAATTTCAAAGAAAGAATTTGCAGAATTAAAGGAATCTTTTAAAGCTCTTTCTAAATCCAAACAAGACGTATTTTTAATGGCCCAATTTAAGGCAATGAATGGTGGCTCAATAAGAATACTTTATCACATCCTGGGTGATTGCATTTGCAATCTTTTATTCTAAGATGAGTATGTCTTAGCAAATAACCATTTGTAGAAATTTTTTTAGTGCATCCTGGATATTCACATTTGAAGTCTTTTATTTTGAAATGACATTTTGTATGTGTTAGCAAATTACTTTAGCATGGAATTCTTTGGTATACCCTGGATATTCGCACTTGTATTGTTTTTAGTCATGAATGATACCATGCTTTCTAAACGTATCCCTTGACCCTAAAATTTTGCCACAACCTGGAAAAGTGCAAACAAATCTTCCATTACTTCAAAGTGATTTTTGATCCAGCATCATTGGATCTTCTTCATCTTCATCTTCACCTTCACCAAAGTCACTGTCTTCATTACTATTGCCTTCATCTTCAAACATCACTGTCTTCATCATCAATTTCTCTACCATGGTCATTATTATCTTTATCACTAATTTCATTATCATCATCTTTGTCATTGTCTTCATTATTATGATCATCACTATTGTTAATATATATTCAACATTCTAACAATGTTTCATTTTTTAACAAATAAAATAAGAAATGCAAAATTAAGTTTTTATTTAATTAGTTAATAAATTATGAGTTTTATTTATTGTTATTATCCATTGAATAAAAAATGTTTGAAAAAAAAATTCTATAGAAATAATTGGAACACGACATCATCATCATGATGGAGAATTTCTTGATTTAGAATAATTTATGCAAATCAATTCAAAATAAAATAATAATAAATTTTTTAATATGACAAGTATAGCAAAAAGATTGATAAGAAAATCTAAACCACAATTGCCAATTTACAAAGATGCTAAAGGTCACAAAACTCTTTTAGAATTAATTAATGTTTATCCAGATTATGGAGTTGGCCTAAACGTGGTTTGTATTATTGGCCTTCTTGTTATGAACAAATAAATAAATGAAATAATGATGATTTCTTTTATTGTTTTTCATTCGGGATATATAGATTCCGATCAGATTGATACAAAAAGGAAACTTAAATACTTATTTTAAAATTACAAGGGTCAAATTAAAGGTTTTTTTCATTTTTTTTGAATTTAAATTGCATATATTTTAAATTCTAAATTTTGTTTCTTGTATTTTAATTAATTTAAAGGATATCTCACATGGTTCTGTAAATGGTATAAAATATTGGAAAGGTGAAGCAAAAAAATAGAAAGATGAGAACTTTATATGAATATCTTTGTTTGTTTATTTCTTTATTTCTTGCGATAAAATATCAATTGAATGATTTAATTTCTCTTTAAAAAGGTAAAAAAGAAAAAGAAGAAGGAATTCCTTGGAGATATAGTAACAATTGGTACATATGGCCTTATCAGGGTGAAAGAGATGACAAGTGGGCTTAATCAATGAATAAACAACAAGAAAAGATATTTATTCGGTTAAAATAAATGAAATAAAAAAATATGTTTAATTAATTAAAGAAACTTTACAAAGGAATTTTTTTCTTGCCTTCCAAAAGCGATTTTTATAGCCAACATCTTTACCATAAAGAAAATCTATGCCTCCTATTATCTATCTAACAATCTATCAATATCACTCATCAATACGATTAATATGGGCTATTTTGCTATTATGTCATTAAAGTATGACAAACTAATAGTGTAACCTTATAATTTATATAATTAATTAATACTCGTTGTATTTATCTTTTTTTAAACAAAAAAATGTCGAATTTTTTTTTATCACCATCATCATCATCATCAACAGCATATTCATCATTGCCGCCGCTTGAACCAACGGTATCTCAATTAAGAGATCTTGATGTTGACAGTTTAAATCATGAAAAAAGTAGATTGGAAAATTCAATATTTCACTTGACAAGATCAATTAACGAATTAAAATCTTTTATTAATGATCAAAATTCCAGTGATAATAATTTTGAATTTGAATTGGCTATTAAAGAAAACGAAGAAGTTATCACAAAGTATTTTATCTATTAGAATAATGATCATTAAAATTATGAATATATATTTTATTAAATAATTAAATAATAATATATCTTCTCAATATAAAGGTATCATGATAAAATTAATATTATAGAAAAAATACTGTTAGAAAAAAAACAAAATGGTGCTAATTGTATACCAATAGAAACTTCCGATTCATTTGTAAATAATCAACTTCAAGATTTTAATAACATTACAACACCCACATCTACTACTAATACTAATACTAATACTACAACTGAATCATCATCTGTTACAAACCAATCATCAATGATGAATTGTGCCAATGGTGAAAATAGTCAAGATCAAGGAATGGATACAGGTGAAGAAGATGGTGTTTATTTGTAAAAAAAAATTTTATTATTATTTATATTATTATAAAATAACATTATACTGTAATATAATGTTTAAAAAATATGCACATATGTAATTGTTGAATCTAGTTTGCAGTAATTTTCACTTGAAAAGTATTTATATATAATAATAAAGACTGAAAAAATAATTTTCATTACATTAAATAAAAATAAAAATATTCAAGATGGAAGGCACTTCAATTGATGAAAATTCAGATGAAAGAAAAGAAGAATATGGCGAATGCCAACTTGTAATAGGTATAATACTTGGTTTATACGACATCAATGTAATCTACAATTATTGACTCTAGGATAAGCTAGTGATAATGATACATTAGATGAAATAATTAAAAGCTCATAACTTAAAACTAGACATTATTATAATAATTGGATTTATCTTTGATGGATTCCTTACGAAGATCTGAAAGGTATTGAAAAGATAGGTGAAGGTAGCTTTGAAATCATATACAATGGTGCAAAATATGTAAATTATGAAAGTAATAAAAGATGTCGTGATGATATTTTCATTGCATTAAAAGGATTACTTAGTTCCCTAAATGAGGTAAAATAAATTTTATTTAATATTATTTTTTTAATCATTTATTATTGCTGATGTTATTATTATTGTTTTTTTTAGTTTAAAAATTGTGTTACATTTCATGGTAAATCTAACATAGTTAAATCTATAGATTGACTACAATAGGATATATACTTGTAATTGAATATGGAAGTCTCCAAAATAAATCCACCATAATCAACAAAATATCATTCATAAAGATCTTCATGGTGGGTAATTATCCTGAAATTAATATAAATTCAGCGGATAAAGCATTATCAAATAAAAATGATATATTTAATGCATTGATGGGGTTCAGTACACAAATTCTGATTATATTGGTAAACTTAGGAAATGAACAATAATTACATTTTATTTTAAATAGATTTTTTTTTATTTTATATTTTTTAAAAAAATAATGAATTGCATTTATTACAAATTGCAAATTAATAGTTGTATAAATTATATTAATTAATTAATTGTAATGATAATAATAATAATAAAATTTATTTAAATTTGAGTATCATCAGTATCATCAGTAATTATTATCAGTATCACTATTCATGATAATATCATTATTATTATTACTACTATTATTACTACTATTACTATTGTTACTATTGTTATTATTATAATAATGATGGTAATGGTACATATTATTACAATTAAAATAAGATTGGTGGTTGTCGTTGATTATTGATAACTCTGTAGTAGTTGTAGTTGTAGTCGTAGTTGTAGTCGTAGTTGTAGTCGTAGTTGTAGTAGTAGTTGTAGTTGTAGTAGTAGTTGTAGTTGTAGTAGTTGTTGTAGTTGTAGTAGTTGTTGTAGTAGTTGTAGTTGTTGTAAATACTTAGTTGTCGTCGTCTTAAGTATACTAATAAATGTGGGTTGCTAAACCGACGACGAAAGCAAAGTTTTGTTTTAATAGTAACGATTTACATATTTTGCCGTTAAGCTTGATAAGAGACTTTGAATTTTCGCAAGCAGGATGGATATTATACTATCCAAAATGCGTTGGTACTGTAATAATACTTGTTTATATCGAGGTATAGTCTTCGCGATATAGACTTGATTACCGTCTTCTATTTTGTTTTGAACGCGAAAATCACGTGAGTGATCTTATGCAAATACGGTGTCAGCCGAGCCAATCACAATTATTCTTGAACGTCAATCATTACAGTAGAAATTTTATTATTGTTGTTGTTGTTGTCATGTCAGTAGTAAAAGTAGTTAATGACAAAAGTAAGTAACCCAAAAGTTAAGTCATATGTGTTAAACCACACCATTTAATAAGAATTAAAAAATTTATTATTAAAAGAATAAAATAAGAATAAAATAAAAAAATAATTAATTATAATGAATAAATTTATAGTAGGGATTATTAGGATCGAATGTTTTATTAATCAATTAATGTAAATAAAAATATTGTTATTAATAATTAATGGATAATCAATTAATTAATAATGAAATTTTATCCACCTTCAACATTTAAGAGAAGAGAGTTGTTGAAATCAAGGTCGCGCTATCATTACTTATATAACCTTTTAAGCTTTTTGATTTAGCAATCTCTTCATCTAATATTCTACTTGTATGGTAATTATCTAGATGTGATTTGCGTACTCGTTGTGAAATGCTACCATTACCACTAATAATATAATTGCGCAGTAATTTTAAAATGATGCAGATCATCAAAGTTTTACAATCTTCTCTCCATTGATGATATATCTGGACGTATTTATTTATTGATAATTATAAGTTTCCATTTTAAAAAATACCTATATGAGGCAGACAACAACGAAACCAAACAAATGAAGTATTTTTAGTCACAATTGTACCATATATAATTGTGATACAGGCATATAGCGGTTAATTGGTTAAATTAATTTATTAAAAATTGTGTATTATGCATATTTAATTTTATTATGTTTGATCACCACGCTTGGATTAAGCATCTGGTAACCACTGTATCAATAGATCAAAGAAAATTCATTTGAAGATGATTTAAATTCCTAGTCATTTAAACACATACTTTATTGTTATCTAGGATCTCAATTTTATAGCATCCACCTCCAAGAAAATACTTCTATTAAACCTTTGTTTTTATAATTTTCAGAGAAATACACCAAAACTATGACAATCGGTAAACTAGATTGTGAATGTGGTTCTAAAAACAAAATAACGTTAGTAAATTTCAACCATTTTGTGTTTGAGTTCGCATAAAAAACTTTACCTTCTGAAATCAAATCATTACATTGTAGAATTTTTATTCAGGTCCTTTATAATCCAACTGGCGAAGAGTTCTAAAGATGTATTTAAGTGGTTACTCGTCTATTAATTCTAACCCTGTTGCACCCAAAACTTTTAGTAGTGTTCGAAATTCTCTTGATTGTTAAAAAAACATTCCTTGCATATCATTATTTATATCATTCTCTTCGAGAAAGAAATTCTTATTATCAGTTTGTTCAATTTCAATTACAACGTTTAATGGAGTCCCGTCTTCTCTATTTTTTTTTTCTTTCTGTTAACTCTAACAGGATTGAACCTTTTATTTATGATTACTAAGAATCTTCTTTATCTGTGTTATCCAGTATTCCTTCAATCATTCCTGAAATATGCCTACACCCCAGTTTTGGACTTCTCAGATAAGTGACTTGTAAAATTTTCTGGAAGTTGTATAAATGCAGTAGTAGGTATAACAAGTCTCGCGAGATGAAAACTATGAACCGCAGTATTTTATAAGTGAGACATGCAGTCGTAACAAATTGGTAAGACACTCTCTCACCTTTTTTTGTTTCGTTTAAATGATTATTATTAATTTTTTTATACCCTAATTTGTAAAATTTTCTGTTTTACGAAAAGGGTTTAATTATTTTTTCAACGAGAAGGTAGATCGGTTCCTATTACTATTTTCTTTCAGTGGCGCGTGATTAATTATTATTATTTTGTTTGAAAACTAATTCAATAAACCTCTTGTAGAGTAGATTTCAAGTGGCAAGAGTGTTTGTACGTATTAGGGTAGACGACGATAGTTTCGCTGAAATAAATAATGTTCACTGTTGATGGTTTAACATTGGATCGGGTCTATCCTTGAGAAATTTTATTTTTATATAGATGTTGGGTATTTGGATGTAAAATCTGATTGGCTAATTTTAAATGTCTACTCTCAATAATTTTTTTGAATAAATACAAATAAATGTCATAGATAAAGAGATTAAATCTTATGATCTCTCTACATTAGTATATTAAAAAAACTGTCATTACGTAACACGTTGCATATGCAAATGAATAACCAAACAAACTTGTTAATATTGGCATATTTGACGCGAGCTATATGAAGCCAATTTTAGAATAATCATCATAATCTATATTTTTCGCATATTAGTAATAAATTCATGAAAGAATCCTTGACAACCATTTGTCAATTAATTCGCCCTTGATACTAATTATTATTCATTAATATATAGCAGATTCAATATAAACGTTACACGAATAAAATTTTTAGAGTCAGGACTTTTAAAAACAATTAGAATAAAAGGCTAGCTTAAATATTGGCTATTTTACGTCAGGTCAGAAGTGTTTCTTTTCTTCACACTTATTTTAAGATTATCGCTCAATTAGTATGCAGACTAAAGCAAATTCAGCAGCAATAGTTGTGCCAAAGTGTTTACTACAAAGTCGCTTATAACCACTTGGAAGAAAAATTTTGCTTTTAATTATAAGGACTGATTTATAGTTATTTATAAGGTTATTAGTTTTTAAAATTACATGGACAAAATTTCAAAATAATAATATTATCAACAACACTATAATAGAAATGCTTAAAAGTTAAGTAACCTATTACTATTTAAATGGAAATTACACCATAAGAATAATGAATCTGACGATTTTATTTTCAATGAATAGGAAAACTGTCATTACAATTATAAAATTTTCAAAAGGTAATAGTAATAAAAATTCCATTTTAATTAGATTCAAAGGCTGTGCTCATAACCAGAAACTGTGTGCGTAACTAGAAAAACCTTTCACTTCTATATAGGCGGATTTGATGGAATTGAAGTGTTAAACAAGATTCTAAGCTTACAAAGCAATTTGTAAAATATACTTGATGAATGTTTATAATTATTCAATAGTTATATAGATGGGTTTGATGGAATTAAAGTATTAAAGACAAGATCTATAAAGAAATACACTGAAAGGTAGATTTTTATTTATTATTTATATTTATATATATACATATATTATGTATATAAATAAATAAAATTTTCTTTTCTTTTAACTTATTATTATAGAAAAGCAGCTTCAGGGATATGTCACACGACTAGTATATAATTTTTTCCGGGAAATTTCCGTATACTTATAATAATCATTTCGTAGCAATAAAAATTATAATTCATACGGAATTTCCGTATGCAAATTTTCTATATTAATATTAATCTTAA